AGCCCTGGCTACATCTCTGACTTCAGTCTCCATCTACTCTCCTCTTTGCTCACAGTGCTCCAGCAAGATTGCTTTTCTTGCTGTACTCTTGCCTCAGGGCCTTTGCACTTGCTCTTTCAACATAGAACACTACTCCATATACTCATGTCACGTGTTCAGTTTATTCCATTCTCTGCTCAAATGTCACCTCCTCAGGGGGGACTTTTCTTAACAGTCTATCTAGAAAAGAGCCTTCTATTACTCTAGTCCTTTAGCTTGTTTTACTTATTTTTTTTTTCTGTAGCAGTAATCATGACCTGAATAATATTTAGAGTTTTATGCGTTTGTTGCCTGTCTCCTGCACTAGATGTAAGTACCACGAGTGCAAGGACTTGGTTTGATTCTAACCCCCAGCTCCTAAGAGCGTATGACACCCGGTAGGTTTTCCTTGAATGAATGGATTAATAACTGTTTACCAGTCTTGCAGAGAGCACCCATCAGTCAAAAACTTTCAGAACAGACAGCAGAAATTGCAAACCTTAGTTTGAGGGCTGCCTGGCTGTGTCTTTCCCAGAGCTGGCACTAATGAAGAACACTCTTAGCAGAGTCAGTTGAAAGTCTTCAGACTACTTACTTCCAATATGTTCTTTCCTGTCATCCATTGCAAGTCTCAACCTGTTCGTTTCTCTCTCTCTCTTTTTGCCTTTCTGAGAACAATAGAAGGAAAATCAAGGGAATCAATGTGCTACATGTCAGATATGACAATGGGGACAAAGTGTAGCCTTGTTTTTTAATAAACTAGAATGCAAAGTTGTTCATTTCCCCTAGTGCCTGGCATATAGTAAATGCATGCTAATGTTGAGTGGATTGACAATGTCATCTATTTGATGTTATTAAGCTTCCCTTGTGTGCTAATTGTTCTGCTGAAGGCATTTCTCTGCAGGGCTCACACCCTTAAAGAAACCAAAGAGTGAGGGGATTTTCTCCAGCTCTGCCCCACAACCCAGAAACCCATAGCTTTATCCACGCCCATCCCTTCCCACACATACCAGCCCACGATCCTAAAAATAGTCAGTAGAGTCAGTTCTATCTTTTGTGTGTGGTTTAATTCAATCCATTATAAAAGTAATGCAGGCTTATTTTAGAAAATTTTTAAATTACAGAAAAGTAAAAGGAAAAGAAAAAAAAATGATGTATGGTTCTACCAGCCAGAGATAACCACTGTTAATATGTTGATGTATTTCCCTCCAGTGTTTTCTACGTGTATTTTTACATAGACTTAATGTATAGTTTTATGTCTCTCTTTACTTAACATCACAACATAAGCATTTATCCTTGGTATTCAATGCTTTGTGAATATCTTTTTGAATAGTTGTGTACTATTACATTTTCGTGTTATAGACCATTTAGCTTGTTTTCTATTTTATAAAATTGTAAATAATGATGGGATAAACATCCTTATTCATGCATCTTTGCTGGCATTCCTGATTTTTCTTTAGGATAGAGTCCCAGAAATGGAATAACCAGTTCTAAAGGAGAAAAAGTCTTAATAGGTTTTGTGAGATTTCATTTTGATTTCTAAAACTGTTCGAATGTGACTTCCATAAAAGAGCCCTAGAAAACCAGATTGTCTCGAAGAATTTACTTCCAGTTTTGAAACATTTCCGACCTAGAGTGTTTTAGCATTCAGTTTAAATGAGCACAGAAATCTCCTGTAGCCTGTCTCTTCTTCACGCCTCTTCCCTCTCTAATAAAATGCAGCAGCGGCATTATAAAAATCTTTCTCTGGTAAACAACGTCTTTTGTGTTCTCAGGGATTGTTTTCTTAAGTCTTTCTGGCGGGTGCTGGGTTTATGCCTAGAATTATATGTAGTATTTTTGCATGCCTGTTTATGATGTTTTAAGGGTTTAGTTATGCTTTATGTTTTTTCCCCCCTTTGCCAAAAGGAAGTCCAGATTTCACGGCAGTGAAACCTGCTTTTACAAGTCTGTCTGAGTTCTGTGTGAAAGGCCTGGATTAGCTTAACAGGGACTACTCTTAAGAACATTGCATGGGCAGGGACTCCTCTCCCCAAGCCCGGGCCAGCCTGGCACTAGCCTTGCCAAAGACAGACAGATTGTACCTGGAGGGAAACCAAGGCATGCATAGGTGTGAGGGGCCAGGCATGACATCACATCTAAGAGGATCAAGGGACATAAAATGGTTGCAAAGTGATGCCACAGGCATATTACAAAATATCACACATGCAACATTATTAAAAATAAGGAATCAGGTGTCTTTCTTTATTTGACTTGAAAAGATGTCTATGATATTTTATTAATTCTGAATAGCAAGTTGTGGGGAAACATGTATGGTATGATCTCTTATTTGTTAAAAAAGGCAAACATTGTTTAAGAGAACCTTGAATATCTACGTGAACCAAAAGAAATGTGTGGAAGAACACCCATGAGACCGCTGGTGACTCGGGCTCACTCAGGAATATGGAATTGGGGCAGAGGAGCATCTGGAGCTTTTGCTTAGTAGGACTCTGTTGAATAACACGTTACAATGCACATGCATTACTTTTATAACCTATAAAAAGGAGGAGAGCTAAAGAAAAAAAAAATACTGGTGAGGAGTGGGGCTAGGAGCTAGTTGAGAGGCAGGGCCTGGGCAGAGCGGGTCAGCTCTCTGGCAAGGCCAGTGCCTGTGCAGTGGGAAGGCCCGGCTACCTAGAAATCTCGAACGTGTTGGCGTTCACTTGATACCACACTTGCAAGGTCTTCTGGGAAAAAACATGGAAAGATGCACAGAGAGTCAGGAGTTGCTGTCTTTCCTCTGAGGGCTGAGAGAGGGTGGCCAGGACAGGAGAGAAGACTTTAAAAGCCCCAGAAGGGAAAAGATTGATTCAGTCTCTGAGTCAAAGTGCACTTCTCAGCCTCTGGTGAGACAGGCCCTGGCCTTGAAGTGGAGGCAGTGCCCAAGGCGTTTATTAACCTCCTTCCCTCGGGAGCGAGGGCTGAGGAGTGACGGCTCAGAAGCTCCACGGCTCTCAGACATGACTTGCTTTATATTCTATTTGTGAATTAGGGTGTGTTTGTGGCAAATGCATGATTTAGACGGTGACGAGTCTGCTGCAAATATAAAGGGATAATTGAATCTCAAAGTCTATTAAAGACTGTTGTCTTACATCTTGTGGGATGACATTTTATTACAGGGGCCAACTTGGCTCTCGTATTCAGTTTCTTCTCTTCCCTTCCTCCCTTTCTTCATTATCCTTCAAAAATTAGATTTCCCCCTTTGCCAATCAGAAGTTGCAAAAAAAGAAAATAAAGCCTCCAGGGAAAGTCAGGATGCCAGAAAGGAACGCCTGGCGGAGGTGGCACTGCATGGCAGGTGGCTGCAGGGGCTCTGGCATTGGCTGCTAACTGTGTGACCTCCAGCAAGTATCTTGCTTCCTCTAAGCCTCGGTTTCCTTATCTGTAAAGTAGGGGAGATAATGTTTACTTTAGCTGTCATACAGGTGGGGGAATATGAAGCGTAGCACAGCGCCTGGCACTGTGGCACGTGCCATGATTGCTTCTGTAATCGGGACTGTTGTGTTCTCAGTTCTGCCACACGTTTTGCTCTATTTCCTCGGGCAGATCGGTTCATTTCTGTGGTCCCCTTGTTCCTCATATGCTAACTGAACTCTCGACAGTTAATAACTCCAGTGAAGCCCAAAAAAGCAACAAAAGCAGCTGAACGGCAACAACCATAATCAAAAAACCCACCCCAGTCCCTCTGTAGAAGGATAATGTCATTTCACTCGGGACCGCTCTTGGTAAGTGGGCCTTTCCTCTCCAAAGATCCTGGAATCTATCGCCTCCTCGGGCTGCGAAAACCGGCCTCGTTCTGTGTTCTGAGCTGCTGGCGACCTCTGTCCACACACTTGTGAGACTGGCCCGGGGCCCTGGCACAGTGAGGCTGCACAGCCCGCCAAATTGCAAAGCCCTTTCTTCTGAGCAAATAGCATTGCACACGTTGCCATCAAGAAAAATGAAAGCATTCGCAGAGGCAAGGCGTCTGGCTCCTCTCTGTGGCCTTTTGAAACAATTCTGTGACCAGAGAATGGCTGGAGACAAAGGTCTTTCTATCTGATCTGCTCCCCACGCCGGCATGGGATCGTGGGGGGCCGTGTTCCTCTTCCCTGGTACCACAGGGATCGTTATCACTGCGCTCGTCCCCTCTCTGTGAGGAGGACGAGGCCGCAGACAGGCAGAGGGATATATTTCAACTGCCCTTGACTCTGTTTATAATCACAAACATGAAAGGAAGGGAAGGAGATTGAGTTTATAGGACTGGTTCTTTGTGTAGCCTAATTTATCTCTCTCAGGCAGCAGTGGGCTGAGCGGGTTTCCTTTTTGTTTCCAATGCAGGAAACTGAAATATGAATCTATGTTGATGAGAGAATAAAGGAATTGAAAGAGGCATAAATCTTATCTTCTCGCAACCCTAGAAGATCAGCTTCTCGTGAAGAAGGGGATTATACTTCTGTAATTAACTGCTTTGCAGCTCCTGGTGATGGCTCAGAGCTGAATAATAGCACCCGGCCCGGTTGGATAAAAGGCTGGCGGGCAGGCAGTGCAGTGGCTCGTCACGAACAATGGTCTCAGGGCTTGACATCCTTCCCCCGTGCCCAGCTCTCAGAGAGTCAAGCCAGGAGATATTTGTCCCCTGCCTATCAGCATTCACAGCAGAGAATAAAATTCCAGAACAAATATCTCAAAGAGACCTGTAGCTGCCATGAGGTACCATGAAGGGCCACGCCAGATTCTACACCCCTCTGTGTTCCAACCAGTGCCCGAAACTGTTAGGTGCTTATTAAAGGCTTTTTGGAGGTGACTGCTGCCCAGCAGCTGTGAGATGGCAGGAAAGTGGCCCGATTTCTCTGATCTTCAATGTTACCACCACAAAATGCAGGGATTCTTCTAGAATTTTTTTGAGGAAGAAATTGGATCATGAGTATAAACAAATTACTTATGACAGTGCCTGGCACGTGGCAGGTGATCAATAAATGGTAGCTATTATTATTATATTGTGAAATAAAAATAGACTGTGAGCGCATAGCCATGATGATAGCCTGTGTTTATGAGGCTGGCCACGTGCAGGCGCTGCACGAACCTCAGGGCGTGAGAGCCCCACGGCATACCTGTCACGCTGGCAGGATTCTGTCCCCCTCTCTACTGGTGACAAAACAGGCTCAGTGTGACCTGCTCAAGGTTAGGGGCAGAAATGGAGATGAGCACCCAGATCTTTCCCTGTCCCTTACCCCTCAGCCCTCACCCCTTAGTACTGGGATTGCAGGTGCTCGGTCCCTTGATCCACCTCCCTTGGGAACCCACCCAGCCCAGGGGGCTCTGCTTCCCTTTCCTCCCTGCCATGTGCTGGATCAACACGTCCTCGATTCTTGCTTTGAGATGTCTCCAGAATTTCTCCCCTTCCATCCCCTTGCCACTCATGCTGGCCCAGGCCCTGGGCTCACGACAGCCAGGCTTCCTATGCCAGGTGGGGTCTAGGCTCTCTCTTCGTCACCCCCCACATCAGTGCCAGGTGAGTGGTCCCTGGTCCCCACTTTCCTGTCCTTCCTCACAAGAGAGCAATGACCACCCCCCACTGTGTATCAAAGCAGTTACATGTCCCTTTCCCAGCATTCAAGGCCCAGCTGACCTGGCCAAAATCTCCCTGCTGGCAGTGACAACCCTGCTCCAGCTGGGTCTGCCTCCATGTCCCCCAGGCAGGCACCCACAGCCCCTGTAGGGCTCAGTGGGTCAGGCCCCGATATAGACTCCAATGCCTGCCAGAGGATGCCCCACTCCGTGGGCAGTAAGTGCTTAGCAGAGGCTGGGACACGGAGATCATCTATTCCATCCACCCATCATCTCACAGGTGGAACCTGACCTCCAGACAAGCTTGGTGACTTGGCCAAGGTCACACAGTGAATTAGCTCCAGAACCAAGTCTCAAAGCTAGGCCTTGGAGCTTGGAATTCAGTGTCCTTCCATTAGACCAATAGGCCATTCCACCCTCGTAATAGACTAAGGGCCTTTATACAGGTTTATTTTGTTCTTAGGCTGCACGTGGGCCCAGGACCCGTGTGGTTCACCAGAGGAACTGCCTGAGAGCCCACTGAGGAGAGGACTCTGAGCAAGGCAGGGGGCAAGTGTGCAGCAGGCAGGGCTTGGGTGGTGGTGGCAGTGGGCATAGGGGCTGGAGATTGAGATCTAGGGGCTGTCTGAACATCGGCAACTGAGGCAGATGAAAACGGGACACAGCAACCAACTTCTACATCCAGGAGGGAGGTGGGGGCCAGGAGGGCATTAGGGAAGAAGTAGCCTCTGACCTGGGTCTGAAGAGCCAGAAGGACTGTGGTTGTGACACTCAGGGGCAGGGCATTTGGGAGGGAGCACCATGGACAGAAGCAGGGAGGCCAGGCAGCCTGGCATGGGCTGCACAGCTGGCCCAGGGGAGCCTGGGAAAGCAGAGGACCTGGATTCAAGTCCTGCCTCCACATCCGGTCGGCTCAGCTCAGGGCTTAGGCAAGTCCCTTTGCCTTTCTGGACCTCAGCTTCCTTGTACGTGCAATGGGCATTGTGATATTACCTGTCTCCTAAAGCTATTGTGAAGATTACCCCAAACAGTAAGGCCCCAAATACAGGGCCCTGGAGCACAGTAGGTACACAGCAGGGGATCTAGTGTGGCTGGAGCTGAGGCTATTGGACCACAGGGACGAGCATGGGTTTGGAGGACACTGCATGTTTTCTTTTGCCTTCCAACGGGCCCTTTCTTCTCCCTCCTGGAGCTCACCAGCTGTCCTGGGAGGGCTGCTTGCCCACTCCTGGTTGCCAAGATGTTTGGCCGTTTCCCGGTCCAGAACCATCCTCTGGTCCTGTCATCATCCTTGAGCCCTTTCCAGCCTGAGCCCAACTGGGGCTCGTGTTCCAGGTCTGCTAACACTTGCTGGCAGGGCCCGTGTTTGGAAGTGAGCACTGTGTTTAGGTAGAAACAGACACTGAAAACAGCAGCTGGCTTCTCTGCGTGGTAAACAGGGAGCCGGGCCGCTGCTCCGGGCGCCGCTGGGGAGGGTGCAGGCAGGGCCTTGCTCGCTGTGGCTCGAGGGCAGGGCAGGGCAGGGCTGTTTTCCTGGGGAGTGGGCCAGCCCTCGCAGGCGGGAGCTGGGGTTGGTGGGACCGGTGGGGGATTTAGAAGCCCTCCCTCACTCTGGGCTTCCAGGTGCTTGAGGACTCTACAGACACTTTCTGCTACTTAATGTCTGTGAGACTTTGGGCCAGTTCCTCAAAGCTCTCTGGATGGGCCGGTCAGCAAAGGCAGTTTCTGGCATGTCCTTGTATATTTCACCAATGAGTACTGTCAGACTTACTGATAGAGCAGTCACTTGGGCAGTGCCGATTTAAACATTCATTTCCCAGCTCCCACTCCAGACTTGCTAAATCAGAATCTCTGAGGGAGGGCCCAGGAAGCTGCATTTTAACAAACTCTTCATGCGATTCTGGTGCAGGCATTCCGAGACTACACCTCGAGAACCACTGTCAGATTCCATCAGGTTCCCTGCATGCACTCCTCGGCTATGCATTTTGGCTTTGCCTTGGAAACAGGTGCTCTTAAATGTATGCCTCATTACAAACAGATGCTCTTAGATGTATGCCTCCTTACAAACGGATGCCATCCCTGTTCTAGGAGATAAGGAGTGATTCCCCACCCCCTGGACTTACCTCATTTGCCATCCATCCATCCACCCATCCATCCATCCACCCATCCATCCACATACCCATCCATCTACCCATCCATCCATTTATCCACCCACCCATCCATCTACCCATTCATTCATCCATCCACCCATCCATCCATCCATTCACCTACCCTTCTACCCATCCATCCACTTATCCACCCATCCATTTATCCATTTGTCCATCCATGCACCCACCCATCTATTCATCTATAATTTTCTGAGCACCTGCATGCTCTGCGTCTGGCTCTGGGCTGAGCTTTGGAGACACAGGGAAGCATAAGGTCTGGCTCCTGGCCAGAACTCTCTATTTAAACAAATAGACACATAAATCATCATAATACAGGGGGGCCCATCCAATGATCAATGTCTCGAGTAGGTACCATGGTGGCACAGGCAGAAATGACGGACTTCACTGGCAGGGAGAGGGGTGAGAGAGGGCCTCACAAGACAGTACTTTGTGAGTGGGTCATGAAGGGTGAATCGTTTGCGGGATAGAGACGGTGCATGTGAGGGCGGGGGAGGGCAGCGGGGGAGGGCAGGTCAGTCCCCGGAACTAAATCCCCTCCCACCGGCAGTGAAAGCAGAGGCCTCTGCTCAGGCCCTGATGCTTATCTGCAGCTGCAACCTCAAGACCCGGCCCCATGTCCTGACATTTCTGAGTGAAAAGATTGTGATGTGTGTGTTGCAGCCCATGGTGGCTGTGTCTTACGCAGTAAAGTGACTGTGAAAGTAACCGGTGAACAGCCATCCAGGTGGAGAGGCACAGACCACTTCATGTCCTAGCTCTGCCTCCAACTCACTATGTAACTGTGGACAGGTCCCAGCCTCAGTTTCTCCATGTCAAAGAGGTGGGATTGGCTCTCAGCTTTACCAGCTTTCTGCCTAGACCACAGCCCCGTCACCCTGGCTGCAATACACATGTTGGCAACGACCTTTCTCTGAACTCCAAGCTCATTTGCCTGGCGCATCAACCACACGACACCTGGCGTGTTCAGTGGGTTTGCTCCGGCGCCCACCCCTAGCTTACCCAGGGCATCACCTGCCCCGGGAGGTGGTCTTTGGAAGGGAGCTGCAAGGCGAAAGTAGGCCTGAAGGTGGCGCTGTGGGTCCAGCTGCTGGGCTGCTCCCTGGGCAGGTCTGTTTCCAAAGTGTCTAAAAACAGGGCAGGCTTGATGGTAGTTCTGCTCCTTGGCACCCGCACCCTCGGGCAGGCTCTGCTTGTTTGCAGAAAGCAGCCAGCCCAGCACACTCCCCCCCCCACCTCCTGTGCCCCTTCATCCATTTTCAAAGCTGTTCTCCTTTGGGTGCGCCCCTTCAGGAGAGGAGGAGGGGGGAGGGCCTGCTGTGGGTGGCTGGTGGGGCAGGGCCCACACCCCTGCTCCTGGGGACCTTGTTTTCTGCTGCTGCCGCCCCCCTCAGTGGGGCTGCGGTCGAGCCTGTGGCCGTCATATTTGGGTCACAGCCCTCTTAACCCCCAGCCCCCGCGGTGGACGCCACGCCTGCAGCGATTCTCTTGGCATTTTGAAAGCACTCCACGCTCTGCCTGCTGCCATCTCGCCATTCATCTGGGTTTGGGCTCTAGCTGGGCCGTCTAATAAGGAATCCGGGGGCCGGGGGGAGTATGGTGGGGCCAGAAGAAGGGAAGAGGAAAGTGCTAACATTTATTAAGTGCCTGCTGGGTGCCCAGCACTTCCACAGCAACTGGAGCAGTGATTTTTAAATTTTCTTTCAACTGCAAAACCCTTTCCTCCATCCAAAAGCACAGGCCCAAACTGGTCACGTGAAACAGACCCAGAGCAGCTGCCCTGGTGGGAGCGTGTGGGGTGGCAAGGGCTAGGCTGTCACCATTCTGGGTCCTCCCCACCTTCCAGCAGTCCTTTGGGTGTTTCCATGAAACCTGGATCTAAAAGCACTGTGCTCATGTAATCTGTGTACAACTCTTAGAGGAACTAGTATGCCTGTGTTTCAAATATAAGCTGAAGCCCAGAGTGGGGAGGCAGGTCCCTGGTTAATAAAGGGCAGGGAGTCAGGCTTGGACCCAGGTGGGCCCATTCAAAGCCCACGCTTCTCCGGACCCCGCCCGGAAGGCAGCAGGTGCTCTGCTTCCTAAGGAAGGACGGGAAGGGGCTGTGGCTCCTCAGGCTGCCCAGGGGACAGGCCAGACGCACGTGGACCCACTGGTGCTTGGATGCCTGGTAAACTGCCTGCCAAGAGGGAGCCCAGACAAGAGGACAGTGGGAGGAGGGACACACGTGGGGAGGGGGTTCTGAGCCACCAGTGAGATGGCTTCTCAGCCCGCCAGGCAGGCTGCAACTTGGCTGACTCCAGAAGAAATCACCTGGCCACGGGTTGCTAGAGGTTCAGACACAAACTTTCCAGGACTTGATTAGACTGTTTTCTTCCAGCACAGCCGGGGTTGGGAGCTGTCAAATACCTGCTTTGCCCATGACAAGGGGATTGTGGAAGCATGGCCTCTGAAAAGTAAGTTGCTTGCTTTTAAAAAAGGAATGAACACTTTTGCTTGTAAACTTACAATGAGCATAGATTTGGAGTCAGAAATACCTGGGTGGTCTCTGCAGTAATACCTGACTTCCCTGTGTCGCAGTTAGTTGCCGCCTCTGTAAATGGCATTACGAGCGTCCCCGTGCGGTTGGGCTGCTGTAACGAGTGCCTGTGTGTGGAAATGCAATCACAGGGCTTGGGGGGTGCAGAGTCAACAGTGGTTCTCTCCCCCATGGCCCCTCCACAACTTTTCTCCAAGCCCATTGAATTTATGACTTGTGCTCAATGGGTATGCCTCCCGGGGGCACTTAGAGGATGGGTTATCTTTTGTCACTGCGGTCAACTGGCTGAAACACTCAGTTTTTCATCTTGGTATGTGAGATGGGATGCTCCGAACCTTGGAATTGCAAAGTCAGAGTCTCGGAGAGCTCAGGACGGCTAAACCCAGACCCTTCAGTTTCGAGATGGGGACAGTGACTTGCGCAAGGCCACACGTCGGGTCAGTGGCAGAGCTGGAGCCCACATCTGCCGATTTGTAGCCCACTGCTCTGTCCTCTGGGACGAGAAGGGGCCCCGGAGGCCGAGGGGAGGAAGGTCCACAGGACGCCGTCTTCACCTACGTGTGTGGGAAGGTGGAGTGAGGCGCTCAGCACCGAGGCCCATCCTCTCCACGGCCCTCGTGTGGGGGCGTGTGTTGGGAGTGGGTGGAGCCTCCATCGTAGGACTGACACCCCAAGAGCCGGGAAGTCCTGTTACCACCCAGAGTCAGAGGCATCAAGGTATGAGGTCTGTTGGACTTGGATTCGAGTCCCCTCCCTGCCCAGCTGTGTGCCCTGAGCAGGGGACCTCACTCTCCTCTCCCTCTGAGCCTGCTTCCTTACCTGAAAACTCATGAGAATAAAATTACGCAGCGCATAGGTTATTGTGAAGATCAAACAAGTTACTGTGATCACAATAGCTAGCACTTAATGCACGTTTACTGTGTGCCAGTTGGGTTCTAAACTCTTTGTGTGCATGTGCTCATTTAATCTTCATAATGACTCGTTTTACTGCTAAGGAAATGGAGGCCCAGAGTAGTCGAGCAAAGCCCAGGGCCAGAACTGGAGAGGACAGTGCAGAGTTTGAACCAGGTGGACTGGCTCTCGCACCCAGCCCTTCGCCCCTGCGCTCTTCGGCCCCTCAGCTCCCGCAGGATCCACAGCTTAGCACACAGGTGCTCCCACACGGCCCCCTCCCTCTCTTTTCCCTGCCATCCTCGTCCCCCCCTTCTTGCCCCCAAGAGTGGGATCCAGAAGCAGTGGGCCGTAGTTTCCCAGACACCGAGTTAACCCAACTTGATTGTTCCACCTTGAGTCATTTTCTTCTCTGTTTTGTTGTTGGTTTTATTTTTATTTTTTGTTCCTTAATCAAAAGCAAGACTGAATTGCCTACTGAGGCACATCTCCTGATTCCGTGCTCATGAGCACCAGGTGTACTTACGAGCAGCAGGTGAGCCCGTGCTCAGCTCGGCTCCTAACGCCAGAAAGCGACGGAGTGCCTCTTTGTGTGGCTTGTGGTTGCAAACATGCGTGGCTAAAGCCCCGCCGACGGGCCGGCTTCTGGATACAACTGACCGGTGTGGGAGAAACTACGCCTTCTTGTTTGTGGGTTTCTGGCGACACTTGTTCAAGCTCCTGGTGACCATAGAGACCTTGTCAACACATCCAAATGCTCCTCTTAGCACAGAAACTTGTCTCCTCCCGGCTCTCCGCATAGCCCCAAAGAACTCAGCGTCTCAGGAAGCAGCAGGAAAGGCTTAGCCACCGGGCATTCCCAGCCCCGGCTCCCCACCCCCAGGCTCCGGTTTCCTCCCAGCTCCTTGCACCCTTGGGCCCACCGAAGCTAAACCGAGGCAGTGGATAAGGATCCAGGGTCACTGTTTGAGTGGGGCCAAGCTTCAGGGCCAAATAAAGACAAGTGAATCAGAACAGTGGAGAATCTGGCCAAGGTATTTAAACATTCGGATTTGTTTCTTCTTCCAGTGACCTAAAGGAAAGGCAGTCTGCTCTGGAAACACAGTTTCTCAGACACCGAAAGTTACCCCAACTTGACTGTTCCACCTTGATTGTTCCACATTTTCTTCTCGGATTTGTTGTTGGTTTTACTTTTAAATAAACAAACCCGGAAACCCGGCTTTCTTACTCTCACGGCTGGAAGGGCAAGGTCAGGGTCCCCAGGGCCCTGAATGCCGAGGCTGGTCTCGGGCCTGCTCTGACCAGCAAAGCCAGCATTCTCCCGCAGTGTATTTATGCCCCCACGCTGGCTCCTGACCGCCATCCCTTATGGGATGCTTATGGAAACCTCGCTGGTGCCCCACCTCCCCTCCCCAAGGCCACCACCTCCAGAAAGACTTAGACCCGCTTCTCCTCTGTCCCTTGCATCTCTCATTATGGTCTCCTCTCTCATCTCCTTCCACACGGTGTCACGATTGCTATGTGGCCGCATTCGTTCCAGAGACGCTCATCGAGCTCTAATCACGGGGCAGGCCCAGGGCGAGTCACCGGCAGTGGGAAGGACCTAATCCCTGTTCTTATTTCTAGGGCTCCCGTGTGCTCAACAGTGTGGCAGAGAAGAACAAGTCGATCTGTAGTTAAAGCACGCAGTGGAGGGAGATGCTGAGCGGCTGGGCCATCTGCCTGCAGGTGCGGCAGGGACAGATCCAGGAGGACTTCCCAGAGGCGGTGACGCCCGGCTTACATCTCAAAAGCTGAGTTTCATGAAACAGCAGGAGGTCGGGGATAGGCGGCAATTCAAGACAGCCCAACAGCACGTGCAAGCCAGGGAGATGTGGGGGAGCGTCCTCAGGGAGGGAGCCCCAGGGAGCTCAGACCCGGCGTGGAGGTGGGACTGGGCAGGCAGGTGGCTGTCAGATCACGGGGGACCTAACGAGTGTTGCTCGGCAGCGTGTGCTTTATCCTGCAGCCAATGGGAAGTAGCAGGAAGGACTTTTAGGAAGAAGAAACCCAACAGGAGTTTCACTCGGGCTGCTGAGTGAAGAATGAATAGTTGGGAGGCCAGAGGTGAAGCAGGGAGGCCAGCTAGGAGGTGGTGGCCCCCGTCGAGGTGAGGGACGATGGCGTGGACCAAGTGGTAGACCTGAGGTCTGTTTAGGAGGCTGCGTGGGCAGGCGCAGTTGCTGATGGGGTGGGACAGCGAGTGTCTCCACGGTGGAGGTTGCCGGGGAGCCAGGGGGTGCTGCTGCCCCCGTGACCTCCTAGTGACTGTCAAACCGGCTGCATGGCAGAATCACCTTGCCATGCAGACTCCCGGACCCCACGATCAGGGGAAATTCCTGATTCAGAAGGAAGATCAGGGCATCTGGATTTTTAGCAAGCAATTAATGTATTGCCATAGAAAAATTCAGAATGAGGGCGGAGCTGTGAGCATGTCCTGGGCCAGACATTCCGTCCCCCTCGCAGGTGGGCGCCTGGCCCAACTTCCTGCCGAGCCGCCCCTGTACCCACCTCAGATGACTCCCAGGCCGTCCGCCCTCCGAGGCAGCCCTTGCGTTTTGAGAGGAGAGACGTGAAGCCTGTCTTGCTGTTCCTTCCAGCTGCTGGTCCTTGCTCCAGCTCTCAGAACCAGAAGGAATCCGTCTAATTGCTCATTCACTGGAGAGCCCTCGAGGTACTGATGACAGTTTTCATTTCCTGCTGTGTCTTCTCTGGGATAAAAATCCCCAGCCCTCTCTCCTGGCAGTGTCTCTGTCAGCGTGAGGTCCCAGCGGAGGGCAAGGCCTGGCAGGGCAATCACCTCCTTCCTTCTGGACATTCTACCCCCATTAATGTGGCCAAAGGCTGCATTGGCTCCATCGCACTGGGGACGGCATCCCGTACGTCTGAGCCCCCAGCCTGCATCCTGTCCTCCTCTCTCTTGCATTACTGCCCCACCTAGGAAGGGGCTTCTTCAAGGGCCTGGGGACTCCAGAGCTTTCTCCTCCACTTTACAAAACACAGACTGCAGGGTGTTCTCAGGTATCTGAGAAAACATTGGGTTTGATGCCCTTTGGGACCAGCTACCTCTGAGGCCAAGACCTGATCCAGATCTGGGTGCCCTTCCTGGGAGGAGCCAGCACAATGTAGGTGAAACCTTATGGCCTCTGGGCAGCTGGGCTTAGATTCAAATCTTGGCTCTACCTGTGGGACTTGGGGCCACTGATCCTCAGTTTCTTCATCTGAGATTAGCACCTGCGTCCTGGGGCTGTGCTGAGACGCCAGGGCAGGCACTTAGTAAGGGCCCCGTGAGTCTAAGTTCTCATTTCCTCTTGAGGAACTTAGATCTTTCTCCTGCCTTCTCTCCCAGCAAATCCGCCAGTTCTAGCACCCGACATAGAAGATCCATATTTAATAAACAGGCAAGGCACCAGTCAAATCTTGGGGCTCTGGGCAGAGCGTGTCCCTGTGTGGGTTGTGTGACCTGGGACAAGCCTCTTCCTTCCCTCTGATCCTGGGTCCCTTGTCTCAGATCTGAGATGGGCAGACCAGGAAGTCGATTTAAAGCCCCACTTAGACTCACGGGGCCCTTACTAAGTGCCAGCCCTGGCGTCTCAGCACAGCCCCAGGACGCAGGTGCTAATCTCAGATGAAGAAACTGAGGATCAGTGGCCCCAAGTCCCACAGGTAGAGCCAAGATTTGAACCTAAGCCCCTTCCAGCTCTGCCTGCCGAGTCTCCCCACAAGCCCCCTGGCCATTTGGGCCCCCAGGCCCCGGGAGGGAGCTGGGCAGACGTGAAAATCATCTACAAGCTCCCAGGATGAGGCTGGATGGTCCCTCCTCCCCACCCAGCCTGACTTTCAAGCACCCACCCTCCTCCTCGTTCATTCCTCAGACACCCGCCTGCCCCTCCCTTGCCGGCAGGCACGGGACGCAGATGAGAACTGAGGGGTCTCTCACCTCGAGACACTGACAGGCCAGCAGGACAGACAGGCGAGTTAACGACTAGCCCAGGGTGACAGGCGCTGTCCTGGAGACAGTCTGCGCAGCAAGTGCCAGGGGAGCCTGAGAAGGGAACAGGTGATACTGCCGGGGTGAGGGCTGGGTGGCGGATCGGGGAAGCTAGCGGGAAGGGACATTGGAGTTCAGGAGTGAAGGATGGGTGGGGGTCTGCCCGGGGCACTGCAGGCCAAGGGCACCGAGGGACACTGGCTCAAAGATTGGAAATCCCAGTGGGTTTGGAATGAGGCTTGAGGAAGTGGCTGGGAGAGAAGAGTGGAGGCAGGGGACCAGCTGGGAGCCTACAGTGGAGATCCAGGCTGGAGGCCATGGGGACCTGAACTAGGACAGTGCCTTGGTCCTTAGTAGGCAATTTGGGGACCCAAGACCAGCCAGAAGTGGATCTTCCTTTCCAGGGACGGACTCTCCATCCAGCCGTTCACTCATCAGTAAATGTCTATCGGTATCTCTGCTGTGCCGGCGCTGTTACGGCAGTGAACTGTCTCCACGAGGGAGCGAGGCCTGTTCTCCAGTGCACTCATGTCCTAGGGCTGCTATAAGAAAGCAGCATGATCTGAGTGGCTTGGGACAGCAAAACTGCATTCTCTCTCAGTCTGGAGGCTGCAAGTCTGAGATCAAGACATCAGCAGGGCCACGCTCCTCCGAGAGTCCGGGCGGCATTCTTTCTGGCCTCTGCCTGGCTTCTGGTGGTGGCTGTTAATCTTGCTGTTCTTGGCACCGGTGCAGCCCCTGCCTCTGCCATCACGTGGCCTTCTCCCCTGTGTGTCTGTCTCTGTGTCTCTTCTCATAAAGCTACCAGTCATTACCCACTCGATTACCCACCCTAATCGAGTGAGACCTCATCTTAACTAATTACATCTGAAAGGACCCAATTTCCAAATAAGGTCACATTCACAGGTACTGGGAGGTTAGGACTTCAACATATCTTTTTTTGGGGGGTGGGCGGGTGAGCACAATTCAACCTGCAATTCCAAGTAATCACAATGCACTATGGCAACTGCCTTAGAAGGATTGGGGATGGGCGGTGGGAATTCAGAATAAGGAGAGCTCTTGCCAAGCAGGGGAATCCATGGTGGCTTCCTGGAGGAAGTGGCCTTTCAGCCATACATCACCTTCGATAGACAGGATTTAGAGGTGCAGCTATGGAAAAAAGTAAGGGCACCCAAGGCAGAGGATGGTGCATGAGCACAAGCATGAATTGCAGGGCAGTCTCATGTTATTCCAGCTATAATCAGTCCTCAGAAAGCCCTCTCCTATCACTCTTCTGTCTGCCTGCCCCCCGAAATCTTGTACACCCCAAACTCCAGCGCCAGCCCATCTTGCTCTTGCATTTGGTGGGGTTTGGAAGAAGACTGTTGCCTGGAATTCTCATGACATCCCTATTCATGTCCAAACCTGGATTTGTTTTTCTTGAGCTGCAGTGAAGGAAAAAAAATAATAAACTATGTATTTATCAAGCAGCAAACCAGTAGGAAATTATAACCTTTTAAAATAAATATGTATCTAATTATAGGAAAGCACCGTTTACTTTTACAGCACCGTCAGGATTTCCCCAGCAAGCCGAGTCTACAAATAATGTTCCAGCTGCCCCCACTTCCCCAGATCTCCCTGAGCATTAACCCCCCAAATGCCGGGCTCGGCAGACAGTGCTCCCGGCTGCGCCGAAATGCCCTGAGCAGGCCTGAGAGGACCCTGGCTCCCGGGTTTGCCTTTTAGAGCCAGAGTCCCAGCCCTTCGATCAGCTCCCAACTACAAAGCCACAAGCCACATCCCAGACTGTCTGGCCTGTCCAGCACACGTCTGGGGGCGGCAGTTTTCTCCCTTACAGAAAAGTCAGAAGGCTTGGAGGGGGCAGGACTGCGCCGGAGCTTGCTTCCTGCCAGGCACCGTTCCAGGCACTGCATTCTCTCCTGCGTCCCTTCATCTTTAGGTCCTCAAACAGTCACTGGGCGCCGAGTGTTGCATCCACACGCACCATGCAGAGCAAGTAAAGAACAGGAGTGAAGTATGGAAAATGCCAAGAAGAGCCCAGGCACGTGTTAGGTCTGATACGTGGTGACTGCGCTATTCGTGGCCGGTGTCCTGTGACTAGCTGCCAGGTACCTGCCATTATTAGTCCATTCTTCCCGCAAATGCTCATTAGGCACCTACGATGAGGCAGGTGCTACTGTTCACCTGGCTCCTTCCCTCCCCCACCGCCTTCAAGTCTTTGCCAAAATGTCACCTTGGGCTTTCTTCCTAGCACTTAGCGGCCTCCGAAACACTAGGTGATTTCTGTTTTGCCGCTTGCTTTTGTCCGTCCCCACCCTCCCCCCAAGAAGGGAAGCTCTGGGAGGGTGGGTTCTTGGTTCTGCTCACTGCTGTGGCCCCAGCACCTAAGTGAAGGCTGGGCACATAGTAGGTGTTCAGTTAGTATTTGTTGAATTGAATCCACCTAAGATCGTTGTCTTTGGAGACCGATGAATCCAGGTTAAGTTCCACTCCTTACTAGCTGTGTGACGTTGTCCCTGTGGCACAGCCTCACCGACAGTGTCCCCTTCTGTAAAGTAGAGGAAGGGTGGGGATCGAAGGGGGTGGCTGTGTGTGGAGCCCACAGTGGTCCCGGCACAGAGTCACCTCTCAGGGACCGGCGGGTGACTCCTGAGCTATGGGGGCAATCGCGTGGTTCACGGAGGCCTCAGCGGTAGTGGGCCTGGGTGTGAATTTTGGTTGCTGCCACTTGCCAGCTCTGTGACCTTAAGCAAAATCACTTCTCTGAGGCTCATTTCCTGTTTGCGAAATGGGGCTCAAACAGCACCCACACCCCCACCCCAGGAGTCACTGGGACGTAGCTGTGTCCGTGGAGCAGGGCACGGTGCCTGCACATGCTCCCCCCTTCTGGGGGCGGGTGCTGAGATGAGAGAAGCCTGCAGAGGCCCAGAGGCCGGCGTTAGGGTTGCAGGATACACCTGACTCCGGCCGTCCATCCCCACGTCCCCCCAGTTCCCCAGCCTGGGCCTGTGGATGTGCTCCCAGGAACGCCCCCACCTCCCCCTCGTCAGCCCCGTGGCTCCCCCGAGACCCCAGCTCCCTGCTCACTCTGGCACTAATGGGCCTGCCTGCCTCCAAAATGAGATGATGGGTCCCCCCAGGGCCCACAGCAAGTGCCAGAGGAAGAAGGAGGGTCTCCTGGGAAACAGGGGCTCCCCCAGGATTGGGGGTGGGAGTTGCCACCTTTCAGAGGGGCACTATGAGCACAGCAGGGAGGGCGGGCCTGCCGCGTGGCTCCGGCTGTCTCCGAAGCTGCCAGGCAAGGGCAGGCTGGGCTTGGGCTGAGTGAACCTTTCCTGCCGTTTTAAAACAGGAGACACCCCAGTATTTGGCATGTCTAGATGAGGCCCAAAGGGGGCCAGTGGGTCACAGGGCAGCCCCTGCCCTTGCCTTGCTGACTGAGAGGGGCTGTCACTCTTGAGGACTGTCCACAACAGAGCTGGGGAGAAGTGGGGGACTCTGAGCCCTCCAGAGCCTGCAGAGGCCTGGTGCCTGCACACGAGGCTCGTCAGCAGAGGTGGAGACTTGGGGGAGGCGACACCTCTGCACAGAAAACTTGTTTATAATCCTGAAGGTGGCACTTCCAGCCCAGGCAGAGCCATGCCAGTCACCACTCGGGCCTGTGTCTGGCTTCTCCATCCTAGCTGCTTGGCAAGTGCTCATTTGAAAGTGTCCCGGAATGGCCCCAGTCTGAGGACCCGTGTGTTCCGGAGTTCCAGGGCCCTGTCAATCTGGGCAGTGGCAGGAAGCCACAGAGTCCACACGGAGGGTACACACAGGACAGGAAATGCATGTGTATGGAGCATTCGAGGTCGGGTGGGGGAGACGTGGCCGGCACATCTGCCCCGGGCTGGTTGCCGTGGGGCTGCAGAGGGCTGATGCACTCTGACGCCTGTGCTTGGCAGTCTTCCTCACACTGTCTCATCCGAGCCCCAGGACAGGCTGTGAGGAGAGAGCTGCCAGGACCCCCATTCTCCAGCCAGCAAACTGAGGCTCAGTGAGGTCAGGTCCCTTACCCAGGGCACAGCCAAGCAGCAGAGCAGTTTCAAAGCCCGCTCGGCCTGCCCCCAAGCCCATTTTGCAGATGAATAATCTGGGGCCAAAGGAGGCCAAGGCCACCCAGCTAGTAAATAGCAGAGCTACCAGGCTGTGGGGCCAGCAGGGTCCTTAATCTGGAGGCGGGGGAGGTCTATGAACTTGAGTGGAAAAAACTCACCCTTTCTGCTCACTCACGTCTAACTGAACTTTAGCATTGCCTTCAAGTGCGAGCGTGGGCAACACGCCACAGTTCTATCAGCAGCACCTGTGACTTTGTCACCCACAGAAGTCACGAGTATTTTCATGTCACGCTACAGTTGTGGCAGAGATCTTGGGATATCTTTATACTCATCACTACTTTGACAGTAGTTATTAGACCTGACGTTAGAGATTGTCATTTAATGCATTAATAAAGAAGCACATATATTGCTATATCCCAATTTTAAAACTTTTAACTTTTAAAAAAATGGGCTGGTTTTGTAATTATGCATGTCTTATGCATTGAAAAACATTGTTCTGAGAAAAGATCCACAGTCTCTACCAGTCACAGAGGGTATGGCGCAGGAAGTATTAAGCACCCTGCTCTCCAGCCTATGCCCCTAACCACTAGGCTAACTGTCCCCCACGTGCTGAGCCAGTGAGCACCACCAGTCTACCCCCCACCCCGAGCCAAGCAGGATGACAAGCCTGGACTAGCAGCCTCTGGGGGCTTGGCACATTTGGGTGGGACTGCCCCCCAACCCCGACCCTCACCCACCCTTTCCCATCCCTTGGCCACGTCAAAGTTAAAATGCCAAATTCTCCGGAGGGCCCAATCTTCTGTTTTATAACCAAGTCAGGTTTGTGCTGATTTCCAGGCACCAATTATGGGCCAGCTCTCTTGGACCAATTAAAATGTGCAGGTGCAATAATGTCGACATCAACAGTCTGGGGTTATCTCGGCAGATATTTTTCATGAAATATTTATAAGAGACTCTGGGAATTTTAACCATTCTGTAGCATGCTTCCGCTCTCTGGCAGGGCTTCTCGTCAGTGGAGGAAGAGCTTGCAGAGGGTAGGGTGGAGGGGTGCATAGAATCTTGCATCGAGGAGGGAGAATGTGGGTGGGAGGCTGAGAAAGCTCAGGAGTGAGTGTAGGGGGAGAAAGGTCTTCTTCAAACATCTTAGGGGAAAAAAGGAATCTGTAGAATTTGATTAACCAGGAGGCTGGTGTTCTGGAAAGAGCCCATGTGGGTTTCAGAAGACCCAGGTTTTAGCCGGGACTCTGCCATGCACTTGCCCTGTGACCTCAGCAAGTGGGTCAGTTGTCCTCTCTGGGCCTCAGTGTCCTCATGTGTAAAAGGGAGGGAAGGCCCCTGCCTTGCCACCTCCCAGGGTGGTGGAGGGAATGAAATGGCAGAGTGAATGGGGGAGGTTTCAGCAGGGGTTCAGCGTTGGCCATAGGGAAGGCTCTCTGCAAACGGGCTCTGGCTCCAGAAGGGCTGATGGTAACGATGGCCCCAGTTTTTATGCTTCCGCGTGTCCTTGTCCCTGGGTGGTGTCTCTGGCTTGGCCCCGTGACTTGCTTTGGCCAGCAGAAAAGCAGCAAAATTGCTTCAAGCAGAGCTCGCAAAAGCACCTGTGTATTTCATGTCCCTCTTGCTCCTCTGCTTGTATCAGGAGACTGTGTCCAGGCTGGCTTGCTGGAAGGAGCCAAGAGACCTGTGGAGAACAGCCAGGGCTTCCCAGACCAGCCCACAGCCAAGATCAGCAGAGCCACCTACCCAACCTGCCCCGTAGCACAGACAACAGAAGAATCACCCAGCCAACCTGTGGATTGTGAGTAATGATACATGGTTAGTGTTTTAAACCAGTAAGTGCTAGTGGTATGGTTTGTTACGCAGCAATAGCTAACTGATACAGAGACCGCACTGACCCCCACGGCCTCATCAATCTGTGTGCTCTCATTGAAAAGCAAAAGCAACCCCTGGTGTCCTCTCCTCTGTGGGCTCCAGGGCTGCTGCCCAAACACAGAGGCAATTTGCTTAGTGGTGGACGGTGAGACCCCCAGAGTCAGACAGTTGTAGAATCCTACCCCAGCTGTGTGACCTGTACTTAGTTACTTAACCACACTGTGCCTCAGTGTGCAAGAGGCATAGTTTCTCTCCCACTGTGTTGTGGTGAGGATTGGAAAAGATACTGGATGTAAAAGTGCATGGCACAGAGTGTTCCAAATGACATTTTTTGTTGTTTATTTGTGGTGGTTGATGTTCAAACCTTCCCGAAAAAGCCTCTGTTTATCTTGCTCAGCCCAGATTGCCTGCAGCTTTTGCCAGGACACCTCCCCAGTGGAGGGAGGCAAGCGAGAATCGGTAGCCACGTGCCTTCGACTGTGCAGATTTCATAAACACTGCGATTTTTGGCAAGCCGGGTCTGCCAGTTGCATAGGAACAAGCCCTCCTGATAACATCCCGGTTTAATCATCCCAAAAGCACGTTCATATCTATGTTCCTATTTGACAGCTGCTCCAGGATCCTGGGACGTGGTCAGGGCAGGGTCTGGCAGCCACATTTTATGGGTGAGGGCACTGGGGCTCAGAGAGGCTCCCTGACTTGCAGAGCTGAAAGGTGGGCCTGCATTGTCTGGTCACAGAGGAGAGCTGCCTCCTGTCCTGGGCCACGCAGCCTCTCCCACAGGGATGGGTCTTGGCCGTGGAGATGGCAGGCAGGGCTCTGGAGTCCGTGGCGAGGGGCTACCCCCTCCCTTTCTAGAGTCCCAAAGATGCCTCTGGGGAATATGATTTTATCCCCAGGGGGTGGTATCTCTTCCTCTGCCTGAGGCTTTGGGATAGTTTGGGAATTACAGCAGGAGATTCCTTTAGTATTTATTAACATCAGGATTTTACTTTAGAAGTGATTAGGCAGGGTCCCTTCATGCTCACTGGCACCCCGACAGAGTGACACACATGCGAGGCTGGGCCCGCGGAGACCCTTGCGGGCACCCACGGAGCCTGGTTAGGGACGCAGCCAACTGTCACCCCCAGCTCATGGCTGCAAACAGCAGGTGGAGGAGTTCTTGCTATTGTATGTATTTATTCACTCATTTATTCAGTTGCTTCTCTACAACTCTGCCCCTTTTTTACCTCTTCTTCCCAAGAGTTACTTTCAGAGCTTGCAAAGGAGGCTAGAAGGTTGTTACGGCTCCAGGAAGGCCCAAAACACAACTTACAGGCGAAAGCCACAAACGCAGCGCAGCAACAGTATTAAAGATGATTGTGGGAAAGAAATGCCCCGGCAAGCGGCTTCCACGCCAGCCGGTGCCTTCCGCGGCGCGCGGACTATTAAGTAGGTGCCGCCAGGAGGAAGGGGCCGTCCTGCGTCTGCTGCACTGCCGTGCTGCTCTGGGTAAGCACGTTCCCTGTTGCAGCACGTTCAATTATGGTGTAGGCACCGGGAGAATTTTAGATAGTCATGAAAAAAATGATTACTACAGAGAGCAGATTGTTTCTTGGAATGCAGCTTCCTGACGAGGCGGCCCCCTTTCTCGTTCTGTGGTTTGTAAAAATTGCAGATTGCAAACTCCCTCCTGGAGCTCCCTGGCCGAGGGCAGAGGAAGGTGTAGACCGTCTCAAACCGGGCTGAGCCTGTGGGCTGGGAGTCCCAGACAGGCATGGTGTGTGCCCTGCCCCAGCCCCTGGGAAAGGCCCTCCCCATGCTACCGTCAGGGCTGGCGCCGCTGCTCGTTTTTGTCTCTGAGCCGTGACTGTCCTGGACCATAACTGCCCGGAAGGCAGCAGTCTCAGTCCCCGGGACTCTCTCGTTTCCTCCCGTAGCGTCCGCGTACAAGATGGGGATGGCGGTGCCGTGCTGGTTGGGGCAGGAAGCCTAGCGCTGGGCGAGCACTTTGCTCTTGACCTTGACTTACACAAACACCATCTCTCATCCCCATAACTTCATTGCAATGGTTCCATTATCATCCTCATCCCTGTTTTTGTAGTTGAAGAAACCGAGGCACAGGCTAAGTAGCTGTTCAGCTACGACGGAGGGAATGAGAGCTGGAGAAACCTGCTTCTGAAGCGAGCCTCCACCACCTGCTAGCTGATATAGCGAGTTTTGCCACCTCCCTGAGCCTCGCTGTCCTCGCAGCCCCCGGCCCCTGGAAATGCTTAATAAATTCTCGCCACTCGTCCCTTCCCACACGCCGTGAGCAAATATGTGCTTAGGAGCTGCTCGGGCCGGGCGGGAGGTGGCTCAGCCAACGTCACTTGGGAGCAGCTTGTGTTGGGTGGCCTCTGAGGGTCCCCTATGACCTCTGATGCCTCTGGCTCCAATATTGGCCACCGCGGCTGTGAAGACCAATCCCACCTCCCAGCCTCGGCAGTTTCAGAACAGGCTCCCGCCGAGGGTCTGCACTCAGCCCCACGTGCCCTGGAGGCAGGGACCTCGGAGGGGCGAGGATGGGAAGCTCACCAGGAGACAGAGAATGGAGCCCAGGAGAGGGTGGTGGCCATGCGGTGGACAGGAGGGGACAGAATGAGGGGGATGAGGAGACAGAATCCTCAGGGCAGGGCAGGAGGGTGACGCAGGACCCCATAACGACCCCCCCCAAAGCTCAGTCTTGAGCCCACAGAGGGCTGGGTTTGGTGGCGATGCTGCGTGTGGTCTCCGACACATCGCAGGGAGGTACCGGAGAGCCAGGTGTCTAATCAACAGGCCTGGACCGAGAGTGACCTGAGCCTCCTCTGCCCTGTGATGGCCTGGAAGCTGGGGAAGGGTGGGGTGGGGAGGAGAGGGGAGTACGCTGCTGGGTCCTTTCTGTCCTCTCCTTTAGCCCCTCCGGGTCACATCAGCTCCCCCTGGCTGGTTCAGGTGGGGCAACGGGATGCTAAATCACCACCCCGTCTAGAAGTCAGCCCCTCTCCTGTAACCTCCTTTGGCCAGAGATCTCTCTAGTCTGTTTATCCATCCTGACCTTCAACCCATCAAAAGCAAAATATTTGGTTGTTAGAAACGGTCTGTTTGCTTTCCTGCTTCCTGAGGCAGCCGGAACTTGGAGAGGCCCAACCAGATGTGGGCTTGGTGCTCAGTCCGAGCGCTGAGCCGCGCAGAAGGGAGGCAGCGGTGCCTGGGGCCTGAGACCCGGATGGGCCAGGCCTGCTACTCTGGGAGGCGTGTGAGAGGCGGAACTCGTGGGACTCTCGACTCTGCTGGCCTGAGGATGGGGGCAGTGGCCCCAGGAACACGCCCTTCCTGCCAGCGGGGGCAGAAGGGCTCTCCGTGGGGGTGGGGGCGGGGTGGGAAGGAGCCCTGGACAAGCAGGGTCTCTGAGTTGCTCTCAGTTCCTTCAGGACGCTCTACCTGTCAGTTTGCTGCTCTGGCGGATTCCTACGGGACAGGTAGTGCCCCAGGTGTTGGGCGTCCAGCCAGCAGGAAACAGAATCCTGCCCTCCCGGAGCTTATATTCCAATGAAGGGGAGAAAGTCGGCACAGCACTGCCTGTCCTGCTCAGCTGGACGCCCTGAAGAGGATCTTCCCATCCAACCCCCCCATTTTATAGAGAAGGAAACCTGCAGGGAAAGGGACTTGCCCGGGGCCGCACAACATGTACCCGAACCCAGGAGTCCTGGGTCCTACTCAGCACGGCTTCCATCACCCTAGGCTGCTCCAAGGAGTTAGAGGAGGTGGGCGCACCGTTGTGTTGTGTTGGGGTTGTCAACTGATCCCTTCATCGGAGGGAAGCCACAGGTCTCAATGCTCTGGCAGCAGCTGCAGGGGCCCCTGTAGCCAAGAAGCCTGTGGCAACGGAAAAGAGCCAAACTCCGCAAAATAATTTTAAAGAGATTTATTCTGAGCCAAATTTGAGGACCATGACCCAGACCCACTGCCGTGGGTGGGTTACAGTTTGATTTTTATACCTTTCAGAGACAGGGGTTACAGGTAAAGCCATCAATCAATATGTGGGAGGCATACATTGGGTTTGGCCCAAAAAGGTGGGCCATCTTGAAGGGGGGGGCTTACAGGTTATAGGTGGGTTTAAAGATTCTTTGGATTGTAATTGGCTAAAGACATGAAGCTTTGTCTAAAGGCTTGGAATGTTTTAACATAAACTGTTTACCAGAGATAAGCCACCATTTGTTGCATAAATTGAGGACCTGCAGGTTTGTCTTGCATATCCTTAGGCCTGATAATGGGTTACAAAGGAAGTCTCCAAGAAGGGAGGAGACATGATAAGGCATGTCTGACCTGGCAGGCAATTTTGCTTTAGGATATTCCTTTGGCCATGAGGGAGTCCATTCAGTCAGCCGGTGGGGGCAGGTGAGCATTTTAGTTCATACCTGGAAATGGCCATTTGCAGCCAAGTCCAGGGTCTCTGCCTCCCTCATGTTGATGACCAGGGAGGGCCTGGGCGGGGCCTGGCTGTGATGGAAGGTGGGAGGGGACGGGAGCTGCCTCTCAGCTTTCAGGGCCCTCTGGGGTGACCTCCCTGGGCCCCACAGAGCCTCTGTCTCTTTCTTAGCCAAGCTCCTAACGAGCCTCCACTACCACCCCGAGAGCAGCGGCTGAGGCTCTGTTACTAGAAGAGACCATTAGCCACATTTTTTCCCCCCTGCTATTGCATTTTTATGGCCCACAGCTCCTCTGAATAGCATTTTCCCCGTTAAATCAGATGTTTTGCAAAAAAAATGAAATAAAATAAAGAAAAAAAAGGACTGGTAATCACAACCATAAATCACAAGTCACGTGACCATGAGCGGGTGGCTTCCCGGCTTCCCAGGACGGGTTGAGTGGTGGTGGTGTGTGGGAAAGCTTGTGGTGACGAGGAGACAGGGAGGCCAGGTT